CCCGCCTGTCACTCTCAGTGACTGAGGGTTTCCATTCACTCTACTAACCAGGATTTGATGATAGGCACATGAAACTATTGATAATGATAGTAAGCACTGGCTGACCAGGAATATTTAGTGAAATTTTTGTTGTAGTGAAATGTAAATCTTCTGAACTAAATGGGAAGGATTATGCTACCTTGAAAAGTACAGACATAGGAGAGCCTCATTTGCATTTCCTAAATGCCATGGTATATTTTATTTTTATATTTACAAAAGCATATCACCTGAGGTATTTTTTTGGCTCATAAACACTAAATTAAATGCCACAGAGGACCAGAAGGAAGCCTGGTTTACTGTTTCTCTTTTTCACATACGACTTTCTATATCAACAAGCGTAGTAAGATGATTTACCAAGGGGCGTATATGCTGATCACTGCTTGTGCTGAAATATCAGTCCTCACTGTGAAAGACCTCTAAGCAAATATAATTGCTATAATGTGTTATGACCTTTCAAGTCTCGTAATTCAATCGAAAGGGGCAAGGCCAACATAATACAGGCAAATTACTTCCCATTTCTGTAGCTGTCCCTGGATCACAGGAGGGCCTGTTTACTTTAGACCTGGGGAATTAGCCATTTTAAGACGCAGAAAACTGCATGAAGCAATGGAATTAGGCTTAAATCACTTCCCTATGAGTTTCTGCAAGTTAATTCCTCATTAGTCACTAGGCACATGTGTAGATTTAACTTTGACTTTAAAATGTAATAATTCACTAGAGCTGACCTTAAAAATGCAAGTCCTTAGGTACCAATTAAGTACTCTTATAGTTAACTGTCTAAAATAGCTCTGCTATAAATACCTGCATTTCTTCTTTTATATCATATTCTGATTACCTTTTCTTCTTAACTCTCTATCCTGGAGTTACATGAATGGCTTTCCATAGTTTTGCTTGTTTGTTTCCAGCATTTTCCAGGCAGCAATTCAAAAGGGCATCAGTGATTTATTCCCCTGTGACTGTGTTGCACAAACTACTCAATATGGCTCCACCAAGACATTAAACATGTGAAGGTGCTGTTGGTTGTCTCTTTACTGCCTAATCTGAGTGCCTTGTTGAGGATGTAATGGTCCCAGAGATGCTCATCCCCACCTGAGCTCACTCTGAGCACTCTTCTTTGGTGACTAGTTCCTGCTTTTACAGCCTGATGAGTCATAACAAGTATCATCTCACCAATTAACATTAAGTAGGTCAGATTCACCTTTGTGTTTTCCATAGCACACGATTAGACCTTCCACAGAGTGGGTGGTTAGTACAAATGCATTGAGTGAATGACAGGTGGATAAACAGCTAGAGGAAGTGACAGGAAACTTTATACTGAATTGGTATGTTATGGGATTTGACTTCTCTGATAGAATACTGAATGTATTCTGAGGGAGGAAAACCATGCTTTGTTTTATTTTTCAGTTAAGAGTCATCTAAAGTAATATATTGAGTGCAAAGTCTGCATAAGTGCATTGGTATTTTATTTTAACTGCAGTCATATTATATATATATACATCCACACACATATATACAGACATATATGTGCACACCTGGGATTCAAAAAGTTTGTGGAAAAATTAAAGTATGTATTTATTTTGGTGCAAAAATCTTTGAAATCCATGTAGCTTTTAATACTACCCATTTTCATTAACTTTTTGAATAGCTTGTGTGTGTGTGTGCATGCACGCACATTTGTGCACGAATGTGTTAGTGATTGTGTGACTTGCACTTGGCCAAGAATCAAGTCCATGAATACTCATGACATTTTTATCAAATGCTTAACACTGTCCTGATAATTCTAAGGAAGGTAGGCTCTATCCCTGAATGTATGAGACAAGATAAAAATTCTATATATTAAATAGAATGCAACAAAGGGTAATTTGCATTGAAAGGAAATATTGTGTTGTAGTCATTCTAAGTACTGCTGGAATTCAGAGAAAAGAAAAGTCACTGGTGCTTGAATAAACAAGGTCTGGCTTTTGTGGAAAGCGTTGCACCTAAGAAGGCCTTGAAGGTAAAAGGCAATTTGGGTCAGTGAGAAGAAGACCTCTTAAGAGACGGTGTGGGCTAATTTGCAGAGCCGGGACAATCCATAGTGCAAAATTCCATTTTCATCTGGAACTCAGAAGTGAATTAGATATCAAAATAGACTTCTCTAGTTTGCTGAAGGAAGCCCCAAAGTTACTATTTCCTGAACAAAAAGAGAAGCTAATTTTAAAACATAAATGAACATTAGTGACCCAGTTTGAAGAAATGTTGAAACTTTGTATTTTTATATAGTACAAATGAAAAGAAACTTGAATATAAATTATGTTTTCTAAGCAATATCAAGATAAATGTTTCTGGTCTGTGGTGAGTATTGGAAAAACAATAGGTCTAAAGATATGTCCAAAAGGTATTTCTTACAACTATTTGTCTCTAGGAAATGAATGTCACAATTGATAACATGACGAATTCATACTCGAAAAAAATTAGATCATTTTTCCTATGTGCATACTTAAATTAGATCCTTATGAAGGGCCTAATATCCGACTATATTCTATAGATGATAGAAAAAATTAAAAACTTGATTTTTGCCCTAATGAGTTTATAATCTCATGCATTATATAAAACAAATCTCAATTTCTTTTTTTTTTTTTTTTTTTTCGGGGGGGGGGGGGGGTTTTTTTCTTTTTGGGCACGTGCGCTCGCCACAGACAGACAGAGAGAGACATAGAGACGGAAAGCGAGAAATCACCCCCCAGGGGGGATGGTCACGCCGCAGTCCCTACAATTTCTTAGTGAATCACTTAGGAAAGGCATTAAAGTCTTCTCTTACATACCGTAAATACAGTCATGAGTAAGTGTTACAAAACAGAAGATGCAGCACGAGACTGTTGGTATTTGGATGTTAGAGTTGGAGAAGGAAGGTGTGCTAGGTGGAAACTTTGGGAAGAGGCTTGAACCATGTGTTATAATCTGGTCTACACCTGACTGGAGAAAGGCTCATGTTAAAGAAATAAGATTGGGACCATCAGTTAGCGTAATGGCTATGTCACTGGACTCCCATGTAGTCGCCCGTGGTTTGAGTCCCGGACCCGGTGGCTTAAACTCACGCCCAGTGCATGTGCACGTGTACCCAAGATCCCGAGAGGAGAATGGAGGAGAAGGGATTGCAGCATGGACATCCCCCTGGGGGGTGATTTCTCGCTTTCTGTCTCTCTGTCTCTGTCTATCTGGCAACAGCCCCAAAGAAAAAAACCTCCCAAAAAAAAAAAAAAAAAGAATTAAGATTGAATAGACTGTGGTCAGAAGGTGGAATGTTGGGCCTAGCAGGGTGCTGCTTCATGAGGCTGAGGCCACGTGGGATGTCCGGGTGTCCATCTGATTCTAGACGAACCTAAATAGGTGTGATAGTGCATGCAGGTAATCCTAGCTTACCTGGGGGCTGGAGCAGAGGATTGCATCTAGGGGTCCCTGCCTGTTTTTCTGTGTCCCTCTCTCCTCCTGCGTTTTCTCACTTAAAGAAAGAGAGAAAGTGAAGTGTTGGCCTGGTTACAAAATGGACTTGGGACTCAGTGGAGAAGAGAATTAAGCAGTGGTTTTGTTTCCTAGAAAAGGAACAATTAGGATAATTAGGTTGGACTGAATTATATAGCAAGGCTGAAGATAAGGAGGGCAGTTTGGTGGTTATTTTTCTGAAATCTGAATATGAAATGTTGAGATACTGGTGAAGATTAGAGTTATATAACCATTGCATATTGAATTCTA